ATAGCTAGCTTTTGGATTTTTTTTTTTTTTTTTGAGTCCAGTTGTGGGGCCTGAACTCTGGGCCTGGGCGCTGTCCTCAGCTCTTCAGCTTAAGGCTAGTGCTCTACTTGAGCCACAGCGCCACTTCCGGCTTTTTTTTCCTGCTTATGTGGTGCTGAGGAATCGAACCCAGGGCCTCATGCATACAAGGCAAGCACTCTACCACTGAGCCACCTTCCCAGCCCCTATAGCTAGCTTTTGGAAAGCTAGGATTTTATCATTTTTCTCTCTGCAAACTAGATTTTTGTTGTTGTTGGTTGTGGAGTTTGAATTTAGGGCCTGGGCACTGTCCCTGAGGTTTTTCACTCAAGGCTAGCCACCAGCATCCCGTTTGAACTTATCTTTATCTACTAGCCAAATGCCAGTGGCTCACACTGAGGAGGCTAAGATCTGAGGATAGAGGTTCATAGATACTGAGGAGGCTAAGATCTGAGGATAGAGGTTCATAGCCAACCCAGGCAGCAAAGTCCAAGAGACTCGTCAAATGATTACCAAAAAGCCAGAAGTAGAGCTGTAGCTCAAGTGGTAGATTGCTAACCTTGAGCAAAGAAGCTCAGGGACAGTACCTAAGCCTTGAGTTTAAGCCCCACGACTGTCACAAAAAGAAAGAAAAAAAAAAAGATTATAGGCTCAAATCTGGAATATTTTTTTCCAGTCTTGTATCTAATGCTTTTTTCTCTTCTTTGAATTCTTCGAGGGTGCTGCCCCCCTCCCCCCGCAAAAAAAAGTGATATTATATTCCTATTGTCATGGGATAGATGAGCTATTGAAGTAGAACTGGTGAATCCTGGGAACATAGGCATTTGGATGTCTAGAAAAGCTTGTCCTGATGTTTACAGCAGTGGGCCATTACTATAGGAAGTAATTGTTTTTAACTTGTTTTACTTAGGTAGCTGTGCATCATCTCTGTTTCCTGTAAGTATGGTCTGAGTTTATATGAAAGTAGATTAAATATTTTATCCCCTAGCCTCTGTTGAAGTCTTGTTACCTCATGAGTAGACATGCCTAGGACCTTTGTCATTACCCTAGTATTAGACTCCAAACATAGTCATATAGTCTTTTGTCCTATTTCCACTGTGCCTGTTATTGTTAATAGATTAAAATTCTGACCTCTTACATTTTATCTTTGGTAGCCTGGCTTGTTTTACCTTTTACTCATTAGATCTAGAGACCTGCTGTATCATTTATAACAAACAATGTTTTTAATGAGCCCTACTCTCCTCTTCTGTAAAAGCTAATTTTAGCTTGTAGCAGCTTTTCTTGATCACAGTTGACCTTGTTAGGACAAAGGGGAATAGAGCGAATCAGAATCAAATCCCTAAACTTTTCTTGTCAACTACCTTGATACTAGTTCATTAGCCTCTTTTTTTTTTTTCCTCACTGGTCCTGGGCTTGAACTCTGGGCTTGGGTGCTATCTCTGAGCTTTTGTGCTTAAGGCTAGTGCTCTATCACTTGCATTGCAACTCCACTTCCAACATTTTTTTTGTAGCTTTAGTGGAGGTAAGAGTCTCACAGACTTCCCTGCCTGGGCTACCTTCAAACCGCAATCCTCAGATCTCAATCTCCTGGGTAGCTAGGATTACTGGTATGAACCATCAATGCCTGGCTTAGCCTTCATAATTTTTTTTGGGGGGGGGGTCTGGTTGTGGGACCTGAACTCTGGGCCTGGGTGCTGTCCCTCAGCTCTTCAGCTCAAGGCTAGTGCTCTACCACTTGAGCCACAGCGCCACTTCCGGCTTTTTTCTTTTTGCTTATGTGGTGCTGAGGAATGGAACCCAGGGCCTCAGGCATGCAAGGCAAGCACTCTACCACTGAGCCATCTTCCCAGCCCCAGCCTTTATATTTTTATTTCTATTCCTTTCTAGTCTTGATACTTCTTATTTCTTTTTTCCTGCTTATAGAAATGGCAAGGACAGTCATCTTTGACTTATTCCTGATCCTAGGGAAAAAGCATCCAATGTTCCCCCTTAAGAGTAGTACTAAGCTGGGCGCCGGTGGCTCACACCTGTAATCCTAGCTACACAGGATACTGAGATCTGAGGATCATGATTTAAAGCCAGCCTGGGCAGGAAAGTCCATGAGACTCTTATCTCCAATAAACCACTAGAAAACTGGAAGTGGTGCTATGGCTCAAGTGGTAGAACGCTCGCCTTGAGCTGAAGAGCGCAGGGACTGCGCCCAAGCCCAGAGTTCAAGCCCCACGACCGACCAAAAAAAAAAAAAAAAAGAAGTATTAGAGAGCAGGGTGCTGGTGGCTCACACCTGTAATCCTAGCTACTAAGGAGGCTGAGATCTGAGGATCACTGTCCAAAGCCAGCTTGGGCAGTAAAGTCCATGAGACTCTTATCTCCAATAAACCACAGAAAACCAGAAGTAGTGGTGTGGCTCGAGTGGTAGAGCACTCACCTTGAGCCGAAGCGCTGAGGGACAATGTCCAGGCCCAGAGTTCAAGCCCCACAACCGACCAAAAAAAAAAAAAGTGGTATTAGAGCCAGGCACTGGTGGTTCATGTCTGTAATCCTAGCTACTCAGGAGGATTGTGGTTTGAAGCCAGCCCAGGCAGGAAAGTCCATAAGACTCTTTTCTCCACTAAAACAACTCAGAAAAATCTGAAAGTTATGCTGTGTATCAAGTATTAAGTGGTAGAATACACTAGACTTGAACACAAAGAGGCTCAGGGCCAGTGCCTAGGCCCTGAGTTCAAGGCCTAGTACTAGCACCCAAAAAAATAGTGATATTTGTTGTGTGTTCTTTTTGTTGTTTTGGGTTTTTTTGGTATAAGAAAAGACATTTGTTTCTTTTCCTAATTTATTGAGCATAGTAATCATGCAGAAGTACATTTTAGCTGGATACCTGTGTCTTACTTCTGTCCTAGCTACTTAGGAGGCTAAGATATGAGGATCATGGTTCAAAGCCAGCCTGATCAGGAAAGTCTGTGCGACTTTTTTTTTTTTTTATTGTGAAAATACCGTACAGAGGGGCTGTGAGACTTTTTATCTTCAATTAACCACCAGAAAATTGCAAGTGGAACTGTGGTTCAAAGTGGTAGAGCATTAGCCTTTAGTGAAAAAGCTCAGGGACAGCCTCAGGCTGAGTTCAGGCCCCAACAAACAACAAAAAGTACATTATTTTAGATGATCATGCGTTTTTGTTCTTCATTGTTTAATATGGTTTACAATATTAGGACTAATGTATCTTTCAAGCTGTGCTAGATCCCTTGTATTTCCTTATCTCTAGAATATTTCCTGTGTCTCAGGTGGTAGAGTACCAGCTGTGAACAAGCAAGCCAAATGAGCACCAAGTCCTGAGTTCATACCTCCTATTAGGAAGGAAGGGAAGAAGGAGAGGAGGACAGTATCTCTTGTCTATAATCCTATCTATTCAGAATGGTGAGATTTTAGGATTGTGGTTCAAAGCTGGCATAGGCAGACATCTGAAAAACTCTTATCTTCAGTTAACTAGTAAAAAGTTGGAACTAAAAGTGCAGTTCAGGTGGTAGAGAACCATTTGTGAGGGGAGAAAAAACTTGCACAAAAGTGCAAGGCCTGGAGTTCTCTCTCTGTTTCTCTCTGTCTTTCCTAAATGAGTCTTCTTCTTGGCTCTTTCCCCTTTTCATTTAAATTCTTTCCTTTACAGGGATCATTGAACATTCTAGAAATTTGAAATTTCTTTAAATTACAAATTCTGTAACTTTCCCACAGGTGATCTTATATACTCTTATGGCTTCACATACTCACATCATGCTGTTAACTTGTATGTCTGAATACTCTTGAGTACTAGCCCTATATATTTAACCTACTGAGAAACTCTTACTATCTATATTATTTTATGCTCAAGTGAATTATTCTTCCAACTATGCCTCCTTTAATATTCTGTATCTCCAAGAAGGCACCAATAAGTTTTATATATTTTATTCTCTTACTATTGCTGTGGTCAGTACGTCCTATATATTTTATACCCAGTGAAAGAATTTACTTTCTACATTGCAAGGTCTAATTTTATTGTTGTTTTCCCCCAAGACTACTAAATTCCTTTATGTTCTGCTAGTCTAAATATATATTTCTAATGTCATATTCATTGTACTGTATTTAATCAAACATTTTTATCTCCATATCCTCCTCTGCACCATAAGTCACTTTGAGGGTAGGGATAAGATTACTAACGAGTTTACCACATTTGGCTTTTTTTTTTTTTTTTTTTTTGGAGACAGGGTCTCCCTATGTAGTCCAGGCTAGCCTTGAACTGAAAATCCTCCTGTTTCTAGCTCCGTAGACCTGGGATTATAGGCCTTCATGTGCCTTTTAACTTGGATATTTAATCTTGAGTACTTTGTATGTGTTTGTATGTATATTATGTTGTGCTTAAACTCAGCATCTTACTTATACTAGACAAGTACTCTTGATGCTTAACTATGTTCCCAACTCCTGAGTAGAGTGGGAAGTGATAAAAGAAACTAAAAGTTCAGCACTAGTGGTGAGAATTATGTGAAGTCTAAAGTTCTGTAGAGAGAGTAGTAAATGGAAAAGTACGTTGGAAAAGATTGATAGTTTTGTAAGAAATTAAAAGTAGCTGGTGTGGTTGATGCGTACCTGTAAGACCAGAAATCACAGCACCCAGGAGGCTGAGATAGGAGAATCATAAGTTCAAAACCAGCTTGAGCTACATAATACAATTACATTTCAAAAATAAAGAAAGAGAAGGTACTGATGATTCCTACCTATAATCCCAGCTACTCAGGAGGTTGAGCAGAAAGATCATAGTTCGAAGCTAGCCTGGGTAGGAAAGTCTGTGAGACTCCTATCTCCAATTACCCACCAAAACAGCTGGAAGTAGAGCTGTGGTTCAAGTGGTAGAGTACTGGCTCAGGGACAGAGTGTAGTTCCTGAGTTCAAGCCCCAGAACTGCCAACACACCTCCCCCTCCAAGAAAATGAAAAGCTAACATACTACTTTTCTTTCAGCTGAGTGTGCGAGGAAAGAACAAAAAAGAAAAACTTGAGGATTTCTTTAAAAACATGGTTAAATCAGCAGATGGAGTAATTGTTTCAGGTGTAAAGGTAGGATTTTTAATTTTATTAACAATGTCATTAGTTGAGAATTTACCTTTACAAACGTCATAGATTGAGCTATCAGGTATTTAAAATCAACCAAAAGAAAAGTTTGAACAGTAGAACCCTAAAGCCTGGAAAACGTTCCTTCTTGTTCCTATTTCTCTTTTATCTAGGTTCTGTCTCCAAAGATTAGAAGTTTCCAGTCTAAGGGAATTTTCCTACCTATAGCTTAAGCCTCTTCCTTCCAAACCTGATTATTCCAGATATCTAGACCCCCATATTTCCCTGTCCAAATCCCAAGCCTCCTTCCACATCTGGCATGGACCTCTTCCCTTAATGTGTTCCTGTAGATAGTCAGGAACTGACCATGGGATGCTGGGTAGATAAAAAGGCAGGATAGGGACAATGTGAAGGATGAAATGTCTAACCACATGCACTCTAGGTCCTGAGTGTTGGGTAGACAGCTTTAGAGTGGGACAAGAAGAGGAGCTACCTCTATTTCTATTTTAGCTCTCAACCTAGCCCTGCAGATGTTAAGGGCCCAGGTTCATATCTGGAGTTAGAAGACCTCAGTTAAGGTTTGATGATCTCTTCTAGCTCTGTAATCTTGGGGAAAGTTTCTCTGAATCTCAACTTTTCCATTTTCACATTGGGATTAATACTACCTAGCTGGAAAGATTAAATGAGCTAATGCATGAGACAGTTATTTACCTACTAAAATAACACATACATTTTTCTTAATGTTTTAAAAATGATAAAAAGGATTTATCTGAAAACTCTTACCAGTAAAATATGAGAAAAATGTTGAATATTACATTATCAGGCAATAGTAAGGAAGCCTAATGATGAAGATAATGATGCCGCTTTGTTATTGACTGTTTATGTGTATATGTGTTTACAATTAAAGTTAACTGTATAATACTATTTTTGTATTTCTACTTAGACTTTCCAGAGAAAGAGTCATTTGATTCTTGATTCCATTGATAATGCAAAAGGTTGTGGGTGCTCTCTAGGAAAGAGGCAACCTGCTTCCATTTTGATGTTTTTCCTTAGTGATTAAATGTAAACTACTGTTGGTTATGACTTTTATAAATGAGAACAAAGATTGATTACCACTTTAGAAAGGGAGAAACTACTATGAAAAAAATTTAATGTAGGGGCTGGGAAGGTGGCTCAATGGTAGAGCACTTGCCTTGCATGCATGAGGCCCTGGGTTCGATTCCTCAGCACCACATAAGCAAAAAACAAAAAGCCGGAAGTGGCGCTGTAGCTCAAGTGGTAGAGTGCTAGCCTTGAGCTGACTTGCTGAGGGACAGTGCCCAGGCCCAGAGTTCAGGCCCCACGACCGGACCAAAAAAAAAAAATTTAATGTATAAAAAAGCGGTCTTTTGGGCTGGGAAGATGGCTCAGTGGTAGAGCGCTTGCCTTGCATGCATGAAGCCCTGGGTTCGATTCCTCAGCACCACATAAGCAAAAAAAGCGGTCTTTTTTTGGGGTCAGTTGTGGGGCCTGAACTCTGGGCCTGGGCATTGTCCCTAAGCTCTTCAGCTCAAGGCTAGCACTCTTATCACTTGAGCCACAGTGCCACTTTCAGCTTTTTCTACGTATGTGGTGCTGAGAAATGAATCGAACCCAGGGCCTCATGCATTCCAGGCAAGCACTCTACCACTGAGCCATCTTCCAGCCCAAAATAGCCTTTTTTTTTTTTCTTTTTCTTTTTTTCTTTTTGGGTCTGGTTGTGGGGCCTAAACTCTGGGCCTGGGGCTGTCCCTCAGCTCTTCAGCTCAAGGCTAGCGCTCTACCACTTGAGCCATAGCACCACTTCCAGCTTTTTTTCTTTTTGCTTATGTGGTGCTGAGGAATCGAACCCAGGGCCTCATTGCACGCAAGGCAAGCACTCTACCACTGAGCCACCTTCCCAGCCCCAAAATGGCCTTATTTTTAAAAAGCCTTATTTTTTAAAAATTTGAGGGTAGTGATTAATCATATCATTGCTTCTTGATAGCTAATTTGGCTAAGTTCCCCACAGCAGTCAGAAGTCTGCCTATCAGCCTTCCAATGGTGCCCATAGAATGCATATTAGACCAGGAAAAATAGTTTTTTCACTTCTAGAGACCAGAATTTTTTTTTTTGCTTTTCTCAAAAGTGATTAATTACTCCTTCTGGTAATGTGTTTGTAGAAGCAGAGTGTAAGTAGAGATATTTCAGGATATAGTGTGGACATGAATTGCCTTTAGTTCCAAAACCATCTATTGCTTGCTTACTTGATAGATAGAAGTCATGTCTATAAAGTTTTTGTGTTGATGAACTTAGCATATGTAGACCTTGATTTTTAGTAGAAAGCTAATGACCTTTTATATTTATAATGGTGATAAAGTGATTTGCATACTGTACTAAAACAAATAAATGGAAAAGCTCATATTTTCTTTTGATCCCATAGGATGTAGATGATTTCTTTGAGCATGAACGAACATTTCTTTTAGAATATCATAATCGTGTTAAGGATGCATCTGCTAAATCTGATAGGATGACAAGATCTCACAAAAGTAAGATTCTTCAGTGGCTAAAGTTTGTATTTCTTAGTGGAATAATTATGAGGTTGACATGTATTTACAATAAAAGTCTTTTTTTGTTTTGTTCTGTTGGTCGCGGGGTTTGAACTCTGGGCTTGGGAGCTGTCCCTGAGTTCTCCATCTCAAAGCGAGTGCTCTACTGCTTGAGCCACAGCACTTCTGGTTTTCTGGTGGTTTATTGGAGATAAGAGTCTCATGGACTTTCCTGCTGGGGTGCCCGGGCTGGCTTTCAACCATGATCCTCAGATTTCAGCCTTCTGACTAGCTATTGATATTAGATCAGTGGTTCTCAAATTGTGATCTATGAAACCTAGACCCAAGGGTATTTTTTTTAATAGGCTATATATTGAAGAATGGTTTTAAAACTCAAGATCTTCCTGCCTTGGCTTCCCCACAGAGCCTTTTGTTTTGTTTATTTTGTTTTGTTTTTGTCGGTCATGGGACTTGAACTCTGGGCCTGGGCACTGTCCCTGAGCTCTTCAGCTCAAAGTGAGTGCTCTACCACTTGAGCCACAGTGCCACTTCTGGTTTTCTGGTGGTTAATTGGAGATGAGAGTCTCATGGACTTTCCTGCCTGGACAGGCTTTGAACAGCTATCCTCCTGAGTAGCTAGGATTACAGGTGTGAATCACCAGCACACAGTCCCCCACAAGACCTTTTTGTTATTTTTGTTTTTTTTTGGGGTCCGGTCGTGGGGCCTGAACTCTGGGCTTGGGCGCTGTCCCTCAGCTCTTCAGCTCAAGGCTAGCGCTCTACCACTTGAGCCACAGTGCCACTTCTGGCTTTTTTCTTTTTGCTTATGTGGTGCTGAGGAATCGAACTCAGGGCCTCATGCATGCAAGGCAAGCGCTCTACCACTGAGCCACCTTCCCAGCCCCACAAGGCCTTTTTGAAATGAGTCTTTACCAAGTATGGTGACATGCCTGTAATCCCAGCAATTAAGGGGTTGAGTGACAGGATTGTAGGTTTGAGGTCAGCCTAAGTTACACAGCACGATCTTGTCCCAAAACTAGGCTTTCAAATATAAATAATTGTTTAAAAAAGACTCATTGAGAATCTGTGATATCAAACTTTTTATTAAAAATAGGCTGCCAGGTTCTAATGGCTCATGCCTGTAGCTGTTGTGGAGGCTGAGATCTGAGGATCTTGATTTGAAGCCAGCCCACGCTGGAATATCCATGAGAACTATTCCAGTTAACCACCAGAAAACTGAAAGTGGACCTGTGGCTTAAAGTGGTAGAGTGCTAGCCTTGAGCAGAAAAGCTCGAGGACAATACCCAGGCCCTGAGTTCAGAGCCACAACTGACAAAAATAAATAAAAATAAAAATAGCCAGGCGTTTGAGGTTGAAGGTGTGGCTTAGATGGTAGAGTGCTAGCCATTGAGCAAAAACATCAGGTACTCAGTTCAAGTTCTGGTCTTGTACCTAACCAAAAAAAAAAAAAAAGAAAAGAAAAAGAGCCAGGCCCTGGAAGCTCACGGCTGTAATCCTATCTACTCAGGAGGCTGAGATATGAGGATCACAGTTCAAAGCCAGCTGGGCAGGAAAGTCCATGATACTCTTATCTCCACTTAATTGTCATTGTCCCCTAACCCCAAAAATAGCTAGAAGTGGAGATGTAGCTCAAGTGGTAGAGTGCCAGCCTTGAGCCAAAAAGCTCAAGGACAACACCCAGGCCCTGAATTCAAGCCCTAGAATCAGCACATATGTGTGTGTGTGGTAAAATTGGAACTGTGGCTTAAGTGGTAGAGCTCTAACCTTGAAGCAAAAATGCTAAGGTATATAACATCTAGGCCCTGAGTTTAAGCCCGGTACAAAAATACCAGAAAAGTCTGTGAGACTCCATCTCTAATTAACCTGGAAAAGGCTGGGCTGGAGATGTAGCTCAAGTAGTAGAGCACCAGCCAGCAGGCAGATACACAGTCTTGAATTCAAACTCCAATACTGGGAAAAAGAACTTCCAAAAATACTATGATCCTTTTTTTTTTTCTACCATGTTGATATTTGCATTTACAATGTAAAAAAAAAAAAATGGATAGACTGTTGTGCCTCAGTATATACAAATCAGGGCAGTAACACCAAACTGAACTAATAGTCACTATTTTTTTTCCTACCACTACTTCTCAGTTAAAAAAAAAAAAAAAAGACTTTTACTGTAGGTTTCTAATTGATGAAGCAGTAAAAATTGGTTATAATAAATCTCTACCCTAGAAGTCCACAAATTTTTTACTGTATATATGGAGCTGAGAAATCGAACCCAGGGCTTCATGCATACTAGGCAAACACTCTCCCACTAAGCCACATTGCCAGCCCTATATTTAACTTATTAGGAAATTGCTAGACTTGTATCCTGCAGCTTTACTGCACTCATTTATTAGTTCTGTGTTTCTTTTTTGTTGTTGTTTTGTGCTAGTACTGAAGCTTGAACTCAGGGCCTGGGTGCTGTCTGTCCATTAGCTTTTTTTGTTTTTTGGTCAGTCATGGGCTTGAACTCAGGGCCTGGGTGCTGTCCTTGATCTCTTGCTCAAGGCTAGCATTCTACCACTTTAAGCTGTAATGCCACTTCTGGTCTTCTGGTGGTTAATTGGAGATAAGAATCTCAGGTTATGGGGCTGGGAAGGTGGCTCAGTGGTAGAGTGCTTGCCTTGCATGCGTGAGGCCCTGGGTTTGATTCCCCAGCACCACATAAGCAAAAAGAAAAAAAGCCAGAAGTGGCGCTGTGCCTAAGATGGTAGAGCACTAGCCTTGAGCTGAAGAGCTGAGGGACAGTGAAGAATTTAGGTTTTCCTGCTTGGGCTAGCTTTGAACTGTGATCTTCAGATATCAGCTTCCTGAGTAGCTACAGGATTACAGACTTGAGCTACCAGCACCTGTTGCTCATTAGGTTTTTTGCTCAAAGCTGGCATTTTACCACTTGAATGACAGTTCCACTTCTGTTTTTTTTAGAGGTTAATTAGAAATGAACCATAGAACTTTCTCATAGACTTTTCTGCCTGTACTGGCTTTGAACTATGATCCTCAGATCTCAGCCTCCTAAGATTATAGGTGTAAACTGGCATCTGGTTTCCAAAGTAATTTTTACATGTCTATTATAACAATCATGTTGTTTTACAATAGTTTGTGTCATTTCCTTTTGCTATTCTTTGGGTATTATAAACACATTGCTTGCTAACGATTTTAAATCAATGAAGAGATATATTGAATTCTTCAAACTTTCTGCCTAGGTGCTGCAGATGATTACAATAGAATTGGTTCTTCACTCTATGCTTTAGGAACTCAGGATTCTACAGATATATGCAAGTAAGGATTTTTCTTTTATTATTATTATTTTTTTGTACCAGTACTGGGATTTAAACTTAGGACCTTGTGCTGTCACTTGGCTTTTTCTGCTCAAGGCTAATGCTCTACCATTTGAGCCAAACTTCCACTTCTGACTTTTTGCTGGTTAATTGGAGATAAAAGTCTCATAGACTTTGCTGCCTGGGCTAGCTTTAGACCCTGATCCTATGATCCTCAGATCAGCCTTCTGAGTAGCTAGGATTAGAAAACATAAGCCACAGCACCTGGATGCAAGTAAGGATTCTTCTTAAGAACATTAACTATAAATAAAGAAGAGAAATACTTCTATTGCCATCCCAGGCGCACACAATACTTACAATTTAGGCAAGCATTTTGGAATATTTTTGTCAAAATATTGACTAACTGGTTTTAAATCAAGAAATAAAAAATGGGTTTTAGTATGCTGGTCTCCAGTGGTTCATGCTTATAATTCTAGCTCCTCAGGTTGAGAGCTGAAGATCATGATTCAGAGCCAGCCCGGGCAGGAAACTCTGAGACTCTTATCTCCAATAAATTACTTTAAAAAAAAAACTGGAAGTGGCACTGTGACTCAAGTGGTAGAGTGCTAGCCTTGAGCAAAAAAGATCAAGAACAGTGCCCAGGCCCAGAGTTCAAGACCCAGGACCGGCAAACAAACAAAAAGGCAGGGCTTCAGTATATTTAATAATTACAATGTTTTATTGGATAAAACTGGCTAGTTTATGTACATATATGAGAATTTGCATCAGAGTGTTGTCTAGTTTATCATAAATAAAAACTTTTGGAGGGGTAGGGCGAAGTGGGGTGGTACATATCTATAATACCAGCAGTACATCAGGAAGTGGAATATTATGGGTGTGTGTGTGTGTGTGTGTGCCTGGGAGCTAAGTGGAATATTATGGTGGGTGTGTGTGTGTGTAGGCCTGGGAGCTAAGTGGAATATTATGGTGTGTGTGTGTGTGTGTGTGTGTGTGTGTGTGTGTGTGTGTGTGTGTGTGTGTGTGTGTGTGTGTGTGTGTGTGTGTGTGTGTGTGTGTGTGTGTGTGTGTGTGTGTGTGTGTGTGTGTGTGTGTGTGTGTGTAGGCCTGGGAGTGTGTGTGTGTGTAGGCCTGGGAGCTAAGTGGAATATTATGGGGGTGTGTGTGAAGGCCTGGGAGCTAAGTGGAATATTATGGGTGTGTGTGTGTGTCCTAAAGCTTGAACTCAAGGCCTGGGAGCTTTTTCTCTTCAGGCTAGCACTCTACCACTTGAGCCACAGCTCCACTTCTGGTTTGTTTTTTTCCTTTCCTTTTTCCTCTTTCCTTTCCTGGGTTAGTTAATTGGAAATAAGAATGTCTCTTGGTCTTTCCTGTTCAGGCTGGCTTTGAACTGTAATCCTCTGTCTCCTGAATAGCTAGGATTGCAGACCTGAGCCACAAATATCCAACGTTCTTTTTGTTGTTTCTTTCTTTTTTTTTTTTTTTTTTTTTATGCATTGTCTTGCTTTGTACCTCAGGCTGGTCTTGAACTTGAAATCATACTGCCTCAGACTTCTAGGAGCTAGGATTATAGGTACACCACCATGTCTATCAAATTTACTTTGTGGTTATGTGTCTGTCTGCCTGTCCGTCATGGGGCTTGAGCTTTGAGCCTGGGCGCTGTCCCTGAGCTCTTCAGCTCAAGATGAGCACTACCACTTGAGCCACAGAGCCACTTCCAGTTTTCTGGTGGTTAATCGGAGATAAGAGTGTCTCATGGACTTTCCTTCCCAGGCTGGCTTTGAATCATGATTCTCAGATCTCAGCCTTCTGAGTAGCTAGGATTACAGGGCTGAGCCACCCATGCCCACCCAAATTGATTTTTTAAAGCAAAATTTGATGTCAGGTTTTAATTTTTTGTTGTTGTTAGTATAGGGGTTGAATTCAGGGCCTTATACATTCAAGACAGGTGTTCTACAGCTGATCCAGGCCTCTAGCCTTTTTTTTGCACTAGTTATTTTTGAGGTAAGATATTCCTTCTTAGGCTTGCATCTGGACCAAGATCCTCCTGTTTTTCACTCTAGATAGGTTAACAGGCTCAAGCTACCACATCCAGCTTTTTCCCTTGAGATGGAATCTTTCAGACTTTTCTGCTCAAGCAGAAAATGGTACACGTAATTCTCTTGATTTTAGCCTCCCAAGTGGCCTGCTACTTTGTTTTTACTTTCTTTTTTTTTTTTTTTTTTTGGGTCCGGTCGTGGGGCTTGAATTCTGGGCCTGGGCGCTGTCCCTCAGCTCTTCAGTTCAAGGCTAGCGCTCTACCACTTGAGCCACAGCGCCACTTCCGGCTTTTTTCTTTTTTTTGCTTATGTGGTGGTGAGGAATCGAACCCAGGGCCTCAGGCATGCAAGGCAAGTGCTCTACCACTGAGCCACCTTCCCAGCCCTTTGTTTTTACTGTTGAAAGAAGATACTCCTCTAGATTTTATAACTCACTGCATCCTATTGTAACCATAGGGTAATCTAGTAGAGAAGCATCCTGGAAATTGCTTAAGCATTGTCCTTAATGCTAGTTTTAATCTAACTATAGTTAGCTTTTAGTTGCTTTTATATTTTTAAAAATTGATTCATAACCAAAAAACAATCCAAATGTGTTTTGAACAACTTTTGTTTTTTCTTTTTTTGTGCCAGTCCTGGGACTTGAACTCAGGACCTGAGTGTTCTCCCTGAGCTTTTTTGCTCAAGACTAGCTAGCGCGCTACCGTTTGAACTGTAGTTCCACTTTCAGCTTTTTGGTGGTTAATTGGAGATGAGTCTTGCATACTTTCCTGCCTGGGCTCGCTTCAAACTGTGATTCTCACATATCAGCCTTCTCTCCACTAGGTACGATTATAGGCATGAGCCACCAGTGCTGGTTTAAACAGCTCTTAAGTGGGAAAACTTGTCAAAAGCTAAGCTTTCGAGCAAAGCAAGGTATCATAGCTTATAATAATTAACATTCTACCTTACCAAAGAATTAATTTTTATCTCTGATAAGAAGTTAACTTTACCAAGTTTTCAAAGCTAAATCCAATCAAGCAAGTTTATTTTTCAATAAAACAATTCACTAAATTGCTTTTGCTTTTAACATAATTTACCTTTATCTAGTTATAATTTTAGAGCTTTCATTGATTTTATAATCTTTCCCACTTAAACTTTATAAGAATTCTAGGATGCATTAGCTTGAGAAACTATACTGAGATCATTATTCATTTTTGTTGTTTCCTAGAACAAAAGCATCTACATTTGGAAATGTTTAAAGCAGTAACTATGAAGGCTGAGGATGTAGCACAGTGGAAGAGGCTTTGCCTAGTAGGCATGTGTGCCTGGTTTAAATCCCAAGCATCACAAGAAAATAAACTTGCATAAACTTCAAGAACTTCATAAACTTCATGACCATAAATAACTAGCAAATAACCCTAAGGACTTCAAGTGTTTTTCCTATAGAATGGCCTTTTGCCTCTTTCGGTGTATTCTCTCTGTTTCTGTAATAATACTCAAAATTATGCCAGGTGCCGGTGGCTCATGCCTGTAATCCTGGCTACTCAGGAGGCTGAGATCTGAGGATCACTGTTCAAAGCCAACCCGGGCAGGAAAGTCTGTGAAACTTATTTCCAATGAACCACTAGAAAACCGGAAGTGGCGCTGTGCCTCAAGCGGTAGAGCACTCACCTTGCGCTGAAGAGCTGAGGGATAGCTCCCCAGCCTAGAGTTCAAGCCCCACGACCCACCAAACAAAAAACCTCAAAGTTATAAGATTTACTTAGTATTACTTAGTACATATTATTATATATGTAAGGTTTTTTGGTTGATTGTAGGACTTGAACTCAAGGTTTGGGTGCTGTCCCTGAACTTTTTTGCTCAAGGCTGGTGCTCTACCACTTTGAGCCACAGCACCACTTCTGGTTTTCTGGTGGTTAATTGAAGTTAAGAGTCTCAGACTTTCCTGCCTGGCTAGCTTCAAACTGCAATCTTCAGATATCAGATCTCAGCCTCCTGAGTAGAAAAGATTACAGGCATGAGCCACCGGCTCCTGACTATATGTCATATATTAAGGAAGAAGAATATTAAAGTGACTTTTTTTTTGTTGGTCATGAGGCTTGAACTCTAGGCCTGAGTGCTGTCCCTCAGCTCTTTAGCTCAAGGTGAACACTCTACCACTTATGCCACAGTGCCACTTTCGGTTTTCTGGTGGCTACTTAGAGTCTCTCAGACTTTCCTGTCTGGGCTGGCTTTGAACTGCGATCCTCAGATCTCAGCCTCCTCAGTAGCTACGATTATAGGTGTGAACCTCTAATGGCCAGCCTAAATTGACTTTTTAAGTTTAATGTTTAGTTTAAAATGTCAGTCAATATAAATCAGAGCGAATCCGTGAAAGATTTCAGGTACTCTGTTTTGTGTAAGTATACAGAGATCTTTGTTGAACTAAATGAAGTCTTTCATTAATAAAAACCACTGAATGTTTTTTTATGTAAGGAAACAAGGATTTCCATTATTAATATGGCTTGAGAGCATATTCACTGAATAGTTAAAATCAAAACTTTAAATATAGTTTCTAATGAAAATATTTTTACCTTCCAGGTTTTTTCTCAAAGTTTCAGAACTGTTTGATAAAACAAGAGTAAGTACTTAAATCTAGCAATATGGTGTATAATGTTGTATTTATAGTTAATAATAGTGTATTTTATACTTACCATGGAGGGCTGGTGGCTGGGAAAGTGACTTAGTAGTAGAGTGCTTGCCTTGCATGCAAGAAGCCCTGGGTTCAAGTCCTCAGAACTACGTACACAGAAAAAGCTGGAAGTGGCGCTGTGGCTCAAGTCGTAGAGTGCTAGCTAGCCTTGAGCAAAAGAAGTTCAGGAACAGTGCCCAGGCTCTGAGTTTAAGCCCCAGACTGGTCCAGCACTGGGAGGTGTAGCTTAAGTGGTAGACTGTGCAAAGATTCATATTCTTGGTTGAAAAACATTCATCATGGGCTGAGAATGTGGCTTAGTGGTAGAGTGCTTACCTAGCGTGCAAGAAGCCCTGGGTTCAAATCCTCAGAACTACATACACAGAAAAAGCTGGAAGAAGCTCTGTGGCTCAAGTGGTGGGAGAATACTAGCCATGAGCAAAAGAAGGTAAGGGACAATGCCCAGGACTGAGTTCAAACCCCAGGACTGGTGAAAAAAAGCAAACAAACCCATTCAACATGCTAGCTGCTGGTTGCTCACTCCTGTAACCCTAGCCACTCAGAAGGCTAACATCTGAGGATTGTGGTTCAAAGATGGCTTTTAAAGCCTGTGAGACTCTTTATCTCTAATTATCCAGCAAAATACCAGAAGTGGAGCTGTGGCTCATGTGGTAGAGCACCATCCTTGAGCAAAAGAAGCTCAGGGACAGTGCCCAGACCCTAAGTTCAAGCCCCAGAGGCAGCAAAAAAAAAAAGAAAAGAAAGAAAAAAGCTATTCAAACTATAATATAACTGCTGATTTAATACTCAGCTTTCTCCCCTTTTTTTAGAAAATAGAAGCACGAGTATCTGCTGATGAGGACCTCAAACTTTCTGATCTCTTAAAATATTACTTAAGAGAATCTCAAGCAGCTAAGGTAACTTCATTGTTCATAGAACTATTTGGACTGATTTTTTTAAGGAATGTCTTACCTAGGAGTTAAATTTTATTTTCAAGCCATACATGGTGGTTCATGCCTATAATCCTATAATTCAGGAGGCTGAGGCAGGACAGTTTTGAGTTTGACTCTAGCCCAGCAACGTAACAAGACCCAATCTCAAAAAATAAAACAAATTATATTGAAAAGTGTGAAGATTTTTTCCCTTCTTTTAGAAATTGTAGATTAGGGAACCCCACACACAAAAGTGTGCTCTATAAACCTCCAATACAGCATATCCAGAATTTTTTTTTTTTTTCAGTCCGGTAGTGGGGTCTGAACTCTGGGCCTGGGCGCTGTCCCTCAGCTCTTCAGCTCAAGGCTAGCGCTCTACCACTTGAGCCACAGTGTCACTTCTGGCTTTTTTTTTGCGTATATGGTGCTGAGGAATCGAACCCAGGGCCTCATGTGTGCGAAGCAAGCACTCTACCACTGAGCCACCTTCCCAGCTCTAAGGGTTCTTAAATAGCAGTCTTATATATATCTTATAAATATTTTTGTGTCTTTTTTTTTTTGGGGGGGGGGGGTCCAGTTGTGGGCCTGAACTCTGGGCCTAGGCGCTGTCCCTCAGCTCTTCAGCTCAAGGCTAGCGCTCTACCACTTGAGCCACAGCGCCACTTCCGGCTTTTTGCTTTTTGCTTATGTGGTGCTGAGGAATGGAACCCAGGGCCTCAGGCATGCAAGGCAAACGCTCTACCACTGAGCCACCTTCCCAGCCCCTATTTTTGTGTCTTATAAATATTTTCCCCCACTCTGTGAGTTGTCTCCTTAACAGTGTCTTTAGCAGAAAAAGCTTTATTTATTTATTTTTTTATCTTGGGTGCTAGAGATTGAACTTAGAAAAGTGTAAATTCTACCAGGGAGCTATGCCCTTAGACTGGAAGTTTTTAGTTATAAAGAAGTCTGTTTTGGGGCTGGGAATGTGGCTTAGTGGTATAGTGCTTGCCTTGCATGCATGAAGTCCTGGGTTCAGTTCCTCAGTACCACATACACAGAAAAAGGATTGATGTTGTGGCTCAAGTGGTAGAGTGCTAGCCTTGAGCAAAAGAAGCTCAGGGACAATGCACAGGCCCTGAATTCAAGCGCCAGCACTGGCAAAAAAAAAATCTTGTTTTAGCTGGATGCCTGTGGCCCATGCCTGTAATTCTAGCTACTCAGGAGGCTGAGATCTGAGGATGGAAGTTTGAAGCCAGCTGGAGCAGAAAAGTCTATGAGATTAACCATCAGAAAACTGGGAAGTGAGCTGTAGCTCAGAGTGGTAGAGTGCTAGCCTTGAGCCAAAAACAAAAGCTCACGGACAGCACTCAGGCCCTCAATTCAAGCCTCACAGCCAACAACAAAAACGTCTATTTTGCCTTTTACATGTAGGCTTATATTCCAGTTTTGATTAATTTTTGTGAAAGGTAGATTCAGTTGTTATGTCTATTTTAGCATGCAGATTTATATTCCAGAACTGTCTTTGTCCTATTGTACTGCCTTCGCTCCTTTGTGAAACACCAATTGGCTGTATTTGTATAGGCCCATTTCTGGGCTTTTTATTATGTCCATTAATCTTGATACTAAGCTGTCTGAACTACTGTTGCTTTTTAAAGTAAGTCTTAAAATTAAGTTGGATTGTGGGCTAGGCACTGTTGGCTCATGCCTGTAATCCTAACTACTCAGGAGGCTGAGATCTGAGGATAGCAGTTCAAAGCCAGCCCAGGCAGGAAAGTCCATAAGACTCTTACCTCCAATAAACCACTAGAATAATAGAAGTGGCATTGTGGCCCAAGTGGTAGAGCACTTGCCTTGAGCTAAATAGCTTAGCTGAAGGACAGCGCCCAGGCCAAGTTCAAACCCCATGACCAACAAAAAGAAAAAAGTTGGATTGTAACAGTCTTCTAACTTCGTTCTTCCAGTAATCTTTCTACTTAAACCTTAGAGCCAGTTTGTTGGTAGCCACAAAATAACTTACTGGGATTCTGATTAGGATTACATTGAGTCTATAACTCAAATTGGAAAGAACTGAGATTTTGAATTGGGCTTGGGCAAAGTTAGCTTGAGACTCTTTATGAAAAACAAACTAAAAGCAAGAAGACTGGGCTGGGAATGTGGTTTGGTGGTAGAGTGCTTACCTGGCATTCATGAAGCCCTGGGTTTGATTCCTTAGTACCACATGAACAGAAAAAGCCAGAAGTGGTGCTGTGGCTCAAGTGGCTCAAGCTTCGGGGACAGTGTCCAGGTCCTGAGTTTCCCAGGACTGCCAAAAAAAAGCAAGAAGACCTGAGGCATGATAAATGAGAGGGTACTATCCTAGCATGTGCAAGGCCCTGGGTTCAATCCCTAGTTCTACAAAACAAAAAGTACTGACATTTTAAATATTGAATTATATCTTCCTATCCATTAATGTGGAAGATATGTATTTGCTAAATCATTAATTTCTTTTATCAGAAACTTAAAGTCTTTATATTTAGTAATCTTTTGGTAGGTTCATATCTTCAGTATTTGATTTTGAAACATGTAACATAAATGATATTAAAAACTTTTAAAGCCGGGCGCTGGTGGCTCACGCCTGTAATCCTAGCTACTCAGGAGGCTGAGATCTGAGGATCGAGGTTCAAAGCCAGCCCGGGGCAGGAGAGACCGTGAGACTCCTATCTCCAATAAACCACCAGAAAACCGGAAGTGGCGCTGTAGCTCAAGTGGTAGAGCGCTCGCTTTGAGCTGAAGAGCTGAGGGACAGCGCCCAGGCCCAGAGTTCAAGCCCCACGACCGACAAAAAAAAAAAAAAAACTTTTAAAGCCAGGCGCCGGTGGCTCACGCCTGTAATCCTAGCTGCTCAGGAGGCTGAGATCTGAGGATCGCGATTCAAAGCTAGCCCAGGCAGGAAAGACCGTGAGACTCCTATCTCCAATAAACCACTAGAAAACCGGAAGTGGTGCTGTAGCCCAAGTGGTAGAGCGCTCGCCTTGAACTGAAGAGCTGAGGGACAGTGCCCACGCCCAGAGTTCAAGCCCCACAACCAACAAAAAAAAAAAAAACTTTTAAGATTTTGCTTTTTCATGTCTAATGAATAAGAAAGTTACGTTGTATTAACCTTGTACCCTTCAATCTTGTTATAATTTATTGGTTCCAGGAATTTTTTTTTATCATTTACTTCAGATTTTTTGTGTAAAACATCACATCACCTGTGGAAAATGACAGTTATTTTTTCCTTACTAATCTGTATGTCTTTTATTTCCTTTTCTTACTGTATTAACTAGAACCCCTAGTGCCATATTGACAAAAAAGGAGTATGATAGGAGACATGGGATAAGAGATCTTGTTTTGTATCTGATTTGAGTGGAAAACTTTTCCACTTTTTTCCCATGTAGTAAAAATTAATTTTTTTGGAGACACTCTTTACCAGGTTAAGGAAATTCCTTTCTTTTTCTAATTTATTGAGATAGTTGATCAAGATTTCTGTAGGTGGTTTTGATTATTGTGTTGTCTGGTTGGTTGGTTTTGCTTTGGTGTTCTGAAACAGAATCTTGCTGTTAGCTCTGGCTGGCCTTTTACTAACTCTAGCCCAGCCTGACCTCAAACTTATTGGGAGCTGAGATTACAGGCATGAGCCATCATTCCTGGCTAATAAAAGCTGTTACTTAAAAAAAAAGAAAAAGCCGAGCGCCAGTGGCTCACGCCTATAATTCTAGCTACTCAGGAGGCTGAGATCTGAGGATCATGGTTCAAAGCCAGCCTGGGCAGGAAAGTCTGTGAAACTCTTATCTCCAATAAACCACCAGAAAACCGGAAGTGGCGCTGTAGCTCAAGTGGTAGAGCCACCTTGAGCTGAAGAGCTGAGGGACAGCGCCCAGGCCCAGAGTTCAAGCCCCATGACCTACCAAAAAGAAAGAAAAGTGAAATGTCTCTAGTGGTAGCTAGTCAGGAGGCAGAGATAGAAGGAAGGAACAATGTCTGAGGTTGGTCTTGGGCAAAAAGATCTGAAAAAAAAAAAATGAAAGCAAAAAGTACTGTGCTCAAGTAAACAGTGCATATCTAGCAAGTGCAAGGTCCTGAGTTCAAACCTCAGTGCTGTCAAAAAAGTAAAAAAGTTCACAGCTTAATGGGACAGGTCAAGGCCTTGGGTTCAGTTTTCAGAAATAAAAGAAAAAAAGAAAAATCTACCAACTAGAATGTAGTATTCACTGTGTGTTACCCCTGATGCTTGCTGGTGGTTGTGGAGGTAGAAACATGCAATTTGTATTGTGAAACTTTCTGTGTTACAGGACCTCCTCTATAGACGGTCTAGGTCTTTAGTGGATTATGAAAATGCTAATAAAGCACTGGATAAGGCAAGAGCCAAGAATAAAGACGTTCTGCAGGCTGAAACTTCTCAACAATTATGTTGTCAGAAGTTTGAAAAAATATCTGAATCTGCAAAACAAGGTACTGTTATATGTTATCCTTTAAACATGTTTCATGATTATGTAAAACAGCTCTAATTTGGTTGTTATTATTCACAGAACTTATAGACTTTAAGACAAGAAGAGTTGCAGCATTCAGAAAAAATTTAGTGGAACTTGCAGAATTAGAACTGAAGCATGCAAAGGTACTGTATTGAAAACTCAATAGTTCGTGACATATATTACAAAAAATAAGAAAAACAGATTTTAAGGCTGGGAAGGTGGCTCAGTGGTAGAGTGCTTGCCTCACATGCATGAGGCCCTGGGTTCGATTCCTCAGCATCACATAAACAGAAAAGACTGGAAGTGGTGCTATGGGTCAAGTGGTAGAGTGCTAGTCTTGAGCTGAAGAAGAGCTGAGGGACAGCACCCAGGCCCAGAGTTCAAGCTCCACAACCGACAAAAAAGAAAAGAAAAGAAAAGAAAAACAGATTTTCAAAAATCAGGTCAGGTTATGAAATGGATAATAATCCTTCAGTGACAGTGTGCCTTCAGCAGGGCTATTGAGGTACTAGGGATTGAACTCAGGGCCCTCATGCATGCTAGGCAGCCACTTTACACTCAGCCACAGTCCCCACCCAACAGAATTATTCTCATTTGGGAGTTACATTGTTTCACTGCTTCAAAATGGTTGGTTTTAATAAACAAAGGCCTCCCTCTATGATCTGTACAGTAAGCCTTAAAGTAATTTTAGTTGAGAAATGTTTTATTTTTAATTAATTTTTTTGCACCAGTATGGGGGCTTGAACTCAGGACCTTGTGCTTTCCCTTGACTTTTTGTTCAAGGAAAGCTGTCTACTGCTTGAGCCATACCTTCACTTCCTGGCCTTTTGGTGGTTAATTGGAAGTAAAGAGTCTCATGGACTTTTCTGCCTAAGCTAGCTATAACCAAATTCCTCAGATCTCAGTCTCATGAGTAGCTAGGATTATAGCCATGAGTTTACTAGCACCTAGTTTAAGGAAGATTTTTTTAAAGATTATTTAAGCAAGGGTAATATCCATAGTGTAATCCCTAATGTCTCTAGTGGTAATAACTGAAAGAATTTAGTGTCTAATGGAAAACCCAGTATCATTAGTCCCTATCACCACAAAAATAAAGCAAATATTTTTTACTAATTTTTTTCCCTTAATCATCATAATCTCAGCACTGAGAGACTGAGGCAAGAGGATCTTTTTGTTGGTTTGTTTTTTGGTGCTCTGACAGTTGAGCCACAGATTCACTTCCAGCTTTTTTTTTTTTTTTGGTAGTTTATTGGAAATAAGAGTGTCATGGATTTTCCAGCCTGGGCTGACTTTGAACCTTGGAACCTAGATCTCAGCCTCCTGAGTAGCTAAGATTACTGGTGTGAACCACCAACACCCAGACCACACAGGAGAATCTTGAGTTTGAGGTCTGTCTGAGCTATATAGTGAGACCTTGTCTTTAAAGAGAAAAATTTTTTTAAAAAATCATTTAAAATTTCATCTTAAAGCCAAGAGCCTCTAATCCTATCTACTCAGGAAGCTGAGGTCTAAGGATTGTAGTTGAAAGCCAGCCAGGGCAGAAAAGTCACTGAGACTTTCTCGTCGTTGTTGTTGTTGTTTCTCTAATTAACCACCAGAAAACTGGAAGTGCTGCTGTGGCTCAAGTGGTAGAGCACTTGCCTTGAGCTGAAGAGCTGAGGAACAGTGCCCAAGCCCAGAGTTCAAGCCCCATGATGGACCAAAAAAAAAAATGGGAGAGGATGCTGGGCACCAATGGCTCAACCTGTAATCCTAGTTATTCAGGAGGGTGAGATCTGATTCAAAGCCAGCCCAGGCTAAAAAGTTCCTGAGATTCTTATCTCCAATTAAGCATCAAAGAAGTCAAATGTAGAAATAGCTCTAGTGGTAGAGTGTTAGCTTTGAGCAAAAAGAGCTCAGGGATAGGATGTTCAGGCCCTGGATTCAAGCTCCACCCAAATCCAACACACACAATAATAATAATAAAGAATGGGAGAGGTTGGTGGGGTAAATTTTATACATGTATGGAAATATCACAATGAAACTGCCCTTGCACAACTTAAATATGCTAATTAAAATCTTTTTTTAGCTTGGTGCCCATGACGTACACCCTATAATCCTAGCTATTCAGGATACTGAGTTCTTTTTTTTTTTTTTTTTTTCTGGGTCCGGTCGTGGGGCCTGAAGTCTGGGCCTGGGCGCTGTCCCTCAGCTCTTCAGCTCAAGGCTAGTGCTCTACCACTTGAGCCACAGCGCCACTTCCGGCTTTTTTCTTTTTGCTTATGTGGTGCTGAGGAATCGAACCCAGGGCCTTGAGCATGCAAAGCAAGCGCTCTACCACTGAGCCACCTTCCCAGCCCCAGGATACTGAGTTCTAAGGATCACAGTGCCATGCCATCCGGGGCTGGAAAGTCTGTGAGACTCTTACTACCAGTTTACCAGAAAACTGGTATTAGAGCTGTGACTTAATGTAGTAAAGTGCTAGCCTTGACCAAAAAAATTTCAGGGGCAGTGCTCAGGCAAGACCCAAAAAAACCAACAAGAATAAATAAATTGCAAAAACATAAGATAAAGTAAAATAAGACATTTTAGGGCTAGGGGATTGACCGAAGTGATGAGTGTCTGCCTTACAAGCCCGCAAAGCTCTTAAGTTCTAACTCCAGTACTGAAAAAAAAAAAAAGAAAGTATCATTTAACAAAAAATTTACCTTAGGCCTATAATCCTAGCTACTCAGGTGGCTGAGATATGAGGGTTCAAAGCCAACACAGGCAAATAGACCTAAGAAACTTTTATCTCCAGTTAGCCAGCAAAAAGCTAGAACTGGAATTGTGGCTTAAGTGGTAGAACACCAGTTGTGAGAGTGAAGTGTGAGAGTCTGAATTCAAGCCCTAGTACTGGCACAATGTATATGTGTGTGTACATGTACATATATATTTTTCTCTTGTCAAAAGTACAAAAAATAATAACCAATTTAACATTTACTGTCTTTAGTCAAGACTAAAAATGAATTCAAATTTCTCCAAACTAAGTATTAAGGAAATTAAACTTTTAGAGACAGAGAAAGGAATATTTTGTGTTCAAGACCAGTGTAGTCTACAGACCAGAGTAATACCCTGTCTCAAAAGAAATAAAATACAAAACCAAACAAAACTATAAGTTATGTATGGTTAGCTCTTATACTCTTAAATTTACTAGACGTAAAAACTCATTATGTTTTGGTACAAGCCAGATCTGGCTACTCAGAAGGCTGAGATCTGAGGATTGTAGTTCAAAGCAAGCCTGGACTAGAAAATCCATGAGACTCTAATCTCCAGTTAACCATAAAAAACAAAAGGCTGGAAGTGGAGTTATGGCTTAAGTGGTAGAACACCAGCCTTGAGCAAAAAAGCTCAGGACAGCCCCCAGGCCCTGGCACCAAAAAAACAACAAAAAGTCTTTGGCACAACCCATAATGAGCACATATCTACATCTATGATCAGGTCTAAAATAACAAAAGTCAGTTTAATTCCTCTTTATAACTTCACCCCTCAGATAATTAATTACAACAGAAAACATGTTTCATGCCACACATTCCCCAGCAAACTTGTTTAAAATAATGTTACCCTTACTGGGTGCTAGTGGCTTATGCTTGACTGTAAATATACAAAAATTCTTAGCGTCAAAGCTGGGTATGGTGGCTCACGCCTGTAATCCTAGCTACTCAGGAGCCTGAGATCTGAGGATGGCGGTTCAAAGCCAGCATGGGCAGGAAAAGCCATGAGACTCTTATCTCCAATAAACAACCAGAAAACCTAAAGTGGTGCTGTGGCTCAAGCGGTAGAACACTCACTTTGAACTGGAGAGCACAGGGACAGTGCCAAGCCCAGAGTTCAAGCCCCACGACCCACCAAAAAAAAAAAAAGTCTCATGGACTTTACTGCTTAGGCTGGCTTTTGAACTGTGATCCTCATATCTTAGCCTCCTTAGTAGCTTGGATTACAGGCGTGAGCCACTGGGGCCCAGCTATACAATACATCTTGATGGATATCATCCCTTTTATCATTCTGCTCAGTGCCTCACAACCTCATCCCTTCCTTCAATTTTCTTAATTTTGTAGGATATGCATTGAATATTATGACTGTATTCTCCTCCTCCTTCCTCTCTTTATTTAATCTAGCCTTTTTGTTTTTGGGGGGGGTCCGGTCGTGGGGCCTGAACTCTGGGCCTGGGCGCTGTCCCTCAGCTCTTCAGCTCAAGGCTAGCACTCTACCACTTGAGCCACAGCGCCACTTCCGGCTTTTTTCTTTTTGCTTATGTGGTGCTGAGGACTCAAACCCAGGGCTTCATACATGCAAGGCAAGCACTCTACCACTGAGCCACCTTCCCAGCCCCAAAGTATTGATTTTTGAGATAGGATCTATGTAACCTAGGCTGGCCTCAAACTCTCTCTCTCTCTTTTTTTTTTTTTTTGCCAGACCTGGGGCTGAATTCTAGATCTAGGCACTGTCCCTGCTCTGCTTTTGTTCAAGGCTAGCACTCTACCACTTGAACCACAACGCCAATCCTAGTTTTTTCTGTGTATGTGGTACTGAGGAATTGAACCCAGGGCTTCATGCTAGACAAGCACTCTACCACTAAGCCACATTCCTAGCCCAGCCTCAGACTCTTAAGCCTTCTGCCTCTACCTCCTTAATGCTGAGATAATAGGGAGTATGCCCCCACACCTGGGTTATATTGTATATTTATATGTATTTTTAAATTTTTTTTTTTTTTTTTTGGTCGGTCGTGGGCCTTGAACTCTGGGCCTGGGCGCTGTCCCTCAGCTCTTCAGCTCAAGGCGAGCGCTCTACCACTTGAGCTATAGCGCCACTTCCGGTTTTCTAGTGGTTTATTGGAGATAGGAGTCTCACGGTCTTTCCTGCCTGGGCTGGCTTTGAACCGTGATCCTCAGATCTCAGCCTCCTGAGTAGCTAGGATTACAGGCGTGAGCCACCAGCGCCCGGCTTAAATTTTTATATTATTAATAAAGGTGATACACAGAGTGGTTATAGTTAGGCAAAAAGAAAACAGTACAACAAAGAAAAAAGCTTCTTGCCTCTATTTCCTAGAATTCATTTTGATAAGTATTTCTATGATTAGATGCACACAGGTATTGTGCCTTTCTGTTCTCTTCCTAAGAGTATCCTTTGATCTCACTGTGGGTGAATGCCTAGAGTCCTGTATAATTTTATCATGTCCCAGTGTATTTTAGATCTAGCTTCTGCATATGAGAGAAAACACGCACCATGTATTTTCAATAAGGCTTTTCTAAACTATTTGAACTAAACAAAATTGATAATATTTTTTTCTACCTTTTTAGGGTAACCTCCAGTTGCTACAGAATTGCCTGGCAGTGTTAAATGGAGACACATAAGCCATATTCCACCTTCCCGTTAAAAAGGGCTGCCTTCCTTCAGATCTTACTTTTGTTCTCTGAATGACATAAAGCATTTATGCTCACTGGAAACAACAGCAACGAACCAGTTGACACAGTATATCTACTCTTCTTTTTCTGGGAAACAGTGGAGCAGCACGGTGACAGGCAGTGCGGGCTGTGAGTGTGATGCTGCACTGTGCTCCTCTGGACAGTGGTTGGCCATTGTGCACTTGTCCTGCTCAGAAGCCCAAAGTTCAGTCTTTTTAGTAGCCTCTAACTGTGTTTATTTTATAAATAGTAATCCTTATGGCTGCCAATCTCATTTACTTTTAAGAGTAATCTTTGAAATTTAACCTTTTCAGAATACATTGTTCAAACAAGATAAAGATTGCCTTTCTTGAATTTTTTTTATTTTGTTTTTAAAAAATACAACTAGTTCTTTTATGTATCCTTGTAAAGCATCTTAATCAGACTTACTTTTAATTAATCAACATTGAAGTTTGGGGCCAGACTTTCTGTAATCTTTCTAAGTATGATTCACAAAGAAAAGCAAATGCATTAGTATGTTTGCCTTAACCTTGTAGACTAAACCAACTATTTTAACATAACCAGCGACAACAGCGATAGTTTTAAACTCTGTGGTCATTTTATCACTCTAAATTTTGGAGTAGCTGTAATAAATCTACTCCATTGTTATGCTTTATAGTGCAGATCTTAGTTTTTCTTAATTTCTTTTAAAATTGAATATTGAACCAAGTCCAACAACCCTTTACAGAAGAGTGAGGTGTTTCTCTGTATGCAGTTCATGGAAGTGGAATTGGACAGAGGGAGAGGTCTGTTAAAAGGAATAGCTCTTGTCTGTGAGGAAAAAAAGAATATTTGGGATGAAAGTTTGTATGCAAATGGAATGCTAATTGCCATTAGCTATACTACAAATATTATTGGCCTTTCTTAATGTGGATGAACATAACTGTCATTCCTTGTTGAAAGTGAAACTGCGTGAGTGCTTGGACTTTTTCCACTGTCTTTTTCTAGCTTTCCTCCTTTTTAGAAACCACAGGGATTTGGACTGATCACCCCTTGGATGGGTTTCTAGTTTGTTTACATTTTCTCACCCTGTTCTGAAGAAGGCCTGGTCTGTGCGATAGCCTGTCAGGACTATTCCAGCCTTTCTCAGCATGTGCTCTTGCTTCACTCATGTGCTGGTTAATGTCTCTAACTCACATGTTCCCAATGCCATTTGAACTGTTGGTTTTTCTGTTGTTGTCTGAGCGATTTGTGTGTTTTGTCCTTCATGTAACCTTCACTGGTCAGAATACACCCATGCAGCGTCCACTAGTGTGTGAACAGGACCAAGAGCCTAAGCTTTTGGATTCAGGTCCAGCCCTTCAGCAGCTGCCCTTGTAGCCTCTAGCAGGTTTGGGCAGATTCACTTGACTTCTGCCTCAGTTCTCTACTACAAAGGACATGTTGACCTACCTCACAGGGGTGTTGTGAGGATTAATAAATGTTGGTACCATGCTTTGGAAATGTGAATATGATGTGTAAGTGATAAGCAGTGGCAAATACAGATCCAAAAGCTACATATTTCACTTATCCATTGGCTATTCTGTACTTAACGAAGCACAGAATTCTTTTGGGAAAGTTTCCTGGTTTATATCTTCAGCAAGTCTGTCATGGAGATAGAGGTAGACTAGCAGTAGCAGTACATACTAGTGTTTGTGTGGGGAGTTGGTGGGTTGATCACATAGTAGGTAAGGCCTTTCCACTAACAAAATCTGCATATGAAGTAAAATATGTGTATTGCCAGGCACTGGCAATTAACTCACAACAAATCCTAGCTACTGGGAAGGCTGAGACTCTGAAGATTGGGTTTTGCTGCAATCCTGGGCAGAAAAGTCCGTAAGATTCCCACCTCCAAAATAACTGGCAAGCTTGTAAGTATGACTTAAGTGGTAGAGGATCAGCTAGCTGTGCAAGCAAGCTGGTTCAACATGAGGCCCTGAGTTCAAACTCTGCTACCAGCCAAAAGCATATCACTTTATTGAGAAAAAGGTTTTTTGTTTGTTTCTCCAAAACAGCATTTATTTCCTGAGAAAACTAGTCAGTCCTGGATTTACTACTGAAATGCATTCATGACATCTGGGAAACAAAAAGATGAGAAGGCACTTACTGCATATATTTTGATAATTCAAAGACGGTTCACTGAGAGCTTACTTGGAGGAGGGCTTCCTGCAGGAGATGGTTTATGCCCAGATGACAGGAAAAGACATTGGGAAAGGCCTGGGAGTGTAGGAGGCAAGGTATGTGCAGTGAATAGGAAGGAAGCTGGAGGTAAAATTACAAGCAAATGAATTGGCTTGGACCAGTGAGGCAGAAAAGCCAGATGAGACTTAATGTCTTAATAAAATAGAAGTTGAGGGCTGAGAAGGTGGCTCAGTGGTAGAGTGCTTGCCTTGCATGCATGGGGCCCCTGGGTTCAGTTCCTCAGCACCACATAACCAGAAAAGGCCAGAGGTGGCGCTGTGGCTCACACATAACCAGAAAAGGCTGGAGGTGGCACTGTGGCTCAAGTGGTAGAGCACTAGCTGAAGAGTTGAGCAACAGTACCCAGGTCCAGAGTTCAGCCCCATGACTGACAAAAAAAAAGTTGAGCAAATCAAACTGATTTGCCTGAAGTAGGCTAATTGCAGAAATACAATGACAAAAGAGGAGACATGAGAATTGGTCTGGGGAATGAAGGTATGGGTGGAGTGCTAGCCAATGAGCCAAAGGTATCAGGTGCAGAGTTTTCATCCCAGTCTTGGATGTAACAAAAAGAAACAAAAGCTGCTGTAGGAGAATGGAGAAGGATTCAAGGATTTAAAATAAGTAAAATCCTATGTCTTACTTTGTTTCTGGGTAGAGATCAGAATTCTCCCCTATCCTCTACTAGCTTAATATATATATATATATATATATATATATATATATATATTATATAAGTATATTTTATATATTATATATATAAAATATTTTTTTTCTGTAGGCTATAACATATAGACTGAAACGGCAGTACTAATTCATTCTCTCCCAGCATATCAAAGTGGTACTTGTTTAGGTTTATCATCAGGCATACTTTTCTCTGAACTACTAAGGTGTAACCTCTGTGGCCTAGTTACAGCTATAGGGTACCAGACTTCCTACTAGAAGGAGGCCTCTTCCAACTAGGGTTGACTTTTTATTTTCCTAGACATGTCCACCCTGGAGACTTGTGTCTACTTGGTCAGAACTGTTGTGTAGTCCAGAAAATAACTCTTTTTCTAGACATGTTGCTTCTTTTTTTTTGGGGGGGGGGTCCGGTTGTGGGGCATGAACTCTGGGCCTGGGTGCTGTCCCTCAGCTCTTCAGCTCAAGGCTATCGCTCTACCACTTGAGCCACAGCACCACTTCCAGCTTTTTTCTTTTTGCTTATGTGGTGCTGGGGAATCGAACCCAGGGCCTCATGCATTGCAAGGCAAGCACTCTACCACTGAGCCACCTTCCCAGCCCCGACATGTTGCTTCTCTGGACAAAAAGCAAGAGTCTTGCTGGGCGCCAGTGGCTCATGCCTGTAATCCTAGCTACTCAAGAGGGCTGAAATCTGAGGACTGCATTTCAAAACCAGACTGGGCGGGAAAGTCTGTGAGACTCATCTCCAACAAACCAACAGAAAACCAGAAGTGGCTCTGTGGCTCAAGTGGTGAGCACTCATCTTGAACTGAAGAGCTGAGGGACAGCGCAAAGGCCCAGAGTTCAAGCCCCACAACTGACAAAAAGCTGAGTCTAACTAGTGGGGAAGATGCAGTCCTACAGGACCTGAGAGTCAAGCTGGCCTGTGACCAACTATAGAAAAGAAACATTGAGTGCAAACTGCAGTACCACTCCCCAAAATAAAATAGATCATCAAATACATGTCACTTTTATGTATGTATGTGTGTGTGTATACGCATGCATGCCAGTACTGAAGGTTGAATTCAGGACCAGGACATTGTCTCAGCTTTTTTTCCCAAAGGCTAGCACTCTGTAGCTTCACATTTTTTTTTTTTGGTGTGGTTGGTTGGAGTCTTACAGACTTTCCTGCCTTCCACCTTCCAGCCATAATCCTCAGCTCTCAGTAAGTGTCCTGAGTAACTAGGATTACAGGTATGTAATTACTGTGGCTGTGTGTGCACCCACTTGCACAGTCCTGGGACTCAGTCCTTGAATTTTTGTGCTCAAGGTTAGCACTATACTACTTTAGCCACAGTTTCACATCAGTATTTGGTAGCTAATATAGAAGCCTCATGGGTAAGACCCAGCTTGCTTCTACTTCTGTCCTCAGATCTCAGCCTCCTGAGTAGCCAGGACTACGGGCCAAGGTGCCTGGCTCTAGCTTGTATTTTTAAAAATTATCTTTCTGTGTATGTGTCAGACATAAGGCTTGAACTCAGGGCTTGGGCACTGTCCCTGAGGTTTTGAGTTCAAGGTTAGTGCTATACTATTTCAGCTACAGCTCTGCTTCCAGCTTTTGCTGGCTCATTGAAAATAAGAGTCTCATGGGCTTTATTTTTATGATCTCTAAGCAGTTACACAAGGGCTTACAATTCAACATGTCACTTTGAGTACAACGCATCTTCTTATATTCTTGATAAACTGAAAAATCAGAATAGGAGCCAGGCACCAGTGGCTCACCCCTGTAATCCTAGCTACACAGAAGGCTGAGATCTGAGGATTACCGTTCAAAGCCAGCCCAGGCAGTAGAGTCCCTGATACTATTGTTTTTGTTGTTTTTTTTTTGGGGGGGGGGGGTGGGGTGGTCGATCGTGGGGCTTGAACTCTGGGCTTGGGCACTGTCCCTGGGTTCTTCAGCTCAAAGCTAGGGCTCTACTGCTAGAGACACAACGCCACACTCTTCCCTGAGACTCTTATCTCCAATTAACCACCAGAAAAGCAGAAGTGGTGCTGTAGCTTAAGTAGAGCCCTTGCTATGACCTGAGGAGCTGAGGGACAGCGCCCAGACACCAGGGTTCAAGCTCCATAACTGACAAAAGCAAACAAAGGCCACCTTGATATGGTTAGATGTTATAGAAATTCAGAATTAGAGATAAGGGGGCTGGGAATGTGGCTTAATGGTAGAGTGCTTGCCTGGCATGCATAAAGCCCTGGGTTCGATTCCTCAAGACCACACAAACAGAAAAGGCTGGAAGTGGCGCTGTGGTTCAAGTGGTAGAATGCTAGCCTTGAGCACAGAAGCTAAGGGGACAGTGCCCAGGCCCTGAGTTCAAGCCCCAGGACTGGCAAAAGATAAAATATACAGTAACAAAGCATGGCTGGTGCCTGTGGCTCGATCGTCGCTGAAGATCAGATCTCCACTGTCCTCTCCTACACCGTCCAGGAAAACCAAGCTTTCGTGCTAGTGGTCCCTGCTGCGACCCTTCTGAGGAGGGTCTCTCCTCTGCCATCCCGAGAACGCTTCCAGGAGAGGCCGCACACGAGCACAAGGCCTATTAGGAACCCTTTCTGTGCCACTACCAGGAATGGCAGCCTGTGCCTCCACCGTCCCCCAGTGCCCGTCCCCGGGCCCTGTCCACAGCGACCCGGACGGAGCGCCATCTCCACTCCATGGCCACGAAGGCGCTGAGCTGGGCACCTGCGGGGCTGCCCGAGTCCTGAGCTCGGAGGTTCCGGCCAGCCCTTGGCTTGTGCCCAGGGCGCAAACTACCATTTGGCCTCCGCCTCCCAACCCCGTTTGGCTCCTTGGCAACGGGGTCCCCGCACTTTCCCACCCCGGCTGCCGTGCTGTGCCGTCACTAGCACCCACGGGCGCAGCCTCCTCGGTGGCTGCGAGCAGCGGTGGGGTCGGGGCTTCCCCCGGACCCTGCCGCCTCGCCGGAGCCCCGGCTCCCTAGCCCTGCCCTGCCCCGCCCGGCCCTGCCCTGCCCTGCCCCGGCCTCGGCCCTGCCCTGCCGGGCCCTGCCCTGCCCTGCCCTGCCTGGCCCTGTCCAGCCCGAGCTCCGGGGAGGTCGCTCCGGGGAAGGGGGCGGCGGAGAGCGCGGCTGAGCTGCGAGACCTCGCACTCACACCGCGTGCTCGGGGCTCGTCCAGGGCGCCGTTCCCGCGGCCCGGCCCGCAGCCGGAGGCCGAGGTCGGCGCGTAACCCCGGGGCTAGAAGGCGAGGCCCGGGCAATCGCTTCCGAGGGGGACGGAAAGGGCTGACACTCCTTCCTTTCTGCGGAGGGGAGGGCGGGACGGCAGCCGAGTGGGTGCCCGCCCCACGCCGCCGCGGGTCGGTCTCCGACGCCGGGTTCCCCGCCCGCGGCCCCGGGAGTCCCAAGCCTTAGGGGGCCTAGAGGGCGTTAAGGGAGGGGCGTGACCGGGAGGCGGTGCGTATGTAGATGAAGTGAGCGCAGAGGCTGCCGGTTCCTCCGTTCTCGGGCCTCCCCGTCTCCCGTGGACCGTGGCGGCATGGCACCGGGACACTTTCTGAGTAGCACGGGTGACACTCGAGAGCGTGAGGTTGCGGAGGCCTC